AGTTGATTGAGGTCTTGTACAGGATTTTCTCTATCTCTTTTTCCGCAGAATATTGAAAAGACAAGTAAGCAAAGGAAGCTGATTTATGGACCTTATGCAATAAAAGTGCCAAGGTCGCTACTCAAGTATCCATTTAGTCCTGTGTTTCACATCATGTACAGCTTCATTTTCAACACAATAACTAAGTTCAGGAAAATACCAACCACATTCCATTTTTAAAAGGATAACTCTTTTGGATACAATTTACCCAGCATCTTCCCCTCCCCTGAAATAAATGAAAAGTGCTGAGAAATTGGTTTAGTCAAAATTTTGCCATGTAAGTGGTTTGTAGAGAAAGTTGTACTGTATGATAGAGGTAAAAAACCCACTACCTGATTAAGGAGCGTCTGACTTCTTGTACATGATGATCACAAATGCTATGAAAAACTTTTATAAAGGCATTTTTAAAATCTGTTGAAATTTCCAGTAGAAACTTCACAATAAAAGTTCTACTTGATTAAAGTTTATCTATGTAACTAGATAAACTTATGTGAAAGGTTTTATTTGTGTCTTGCTTAGTTAACTTCATAACTTTTCAACATTTTGAAAGGAGAAATTCTTCAATCCTTCTCCCACGGAGTGGCTGGTGGGTTTCATTTGCTGACCTTTTGGTTAGCAGCCAAGACATTAACCACTGTACTACCTACCAGGGCTCCTCACATGACAATATATCAGAACTTCATTTAGCAGAGAGATGTTAAAGTATGACACTTTTCTTTTTTAATGCATTATCTATTTACATCCAAACAAGTATCCAAAGACTAAAAGGTCTGTTACGCACTGAATCGTGTCCCCTCCAAAGTATGTATTAAAATCCTAACTCTTATACCGTGGTTCTATTTGGAAATAGTTTTTGTACATGTTAATGAGGGCATATCAGTGCAGGGTGTCCTAAACCTAATCACTTCTGAGTTATAAGAAGAGAAGAATACACAGACATACACAGTTGGTTAGAGGAAGGGAGGTGATGGACACAAATGGTATTCACAAGGATTGGTGGCAAATTCAAAGTCTTATACAAAGGCCTGCCTCCTACTAGAGCCACACCCTGTATTCCCATATTTTGCCTCCAGAACTGTGAGAAAATAAATGTCTGTTCTTTAAAGCCACTCACTCGTGGTATCTGTGTTACAGCAGCACCAGGTGACTAAGACAGAATCTAAAGACAATTATACAGTGTGATGCGTTAAGATTCTCCTGGGCCTATGGACGCTATTCAGAGTTTCTCCTCCAACTTAACTGGGCAAAGGATGGATACGCTGCATTTAAGAATACACACATTATGCACTGTTGTGTCTTAACCAGGACAATGTCAGTACAGTAGCATTCAACGAAGGTATGATGGACCAAGTATTAGATAGAGAAGTTTGTGCCTAATGGTAAAAATTCTAATGGCTTTGTTTTAATTCTAGAGTGTGTGTAAGTACTTAAAAAGATGCCCAAATGTCTTTTATTTATAAAACACTTAAAAATATTTTACCAGGGTAAATTATTATCCCCAAATTTATCATGTAAAATTCTTCATTAAAACAAAACACCAAAACCAAGTGCGTTTCCTCTAGATTCTAACTCATGGTGACCCCACGTGTTGCTGAGTATAACAGTTCTCCATTGTTTTTCTAGGGCTGTAACCTTTCCAGAAGCAGATCGCCAAGTCTTCTCTTGGCGGCGCCTCTGGGTAGGTGAGAAGCACCAACCTTTTGGTTACTAGCTGAACGGTTAACCCTTTGCACCACCCAGGGACTCCCAAGATTGTTAAAAACTGTCTTCCAAAT